CACTTCTTTCCCAGCATCCCTGAGCAACCACCTTCTCCAGGCTCAGTGGCCCTGACTGGGTCTCCCACCATCCCTGAGTTGTGCTTGGGGCATACAGTGTCAGCATCCCGTGCCTGAGATCCAGGGGTGTCCCTAACTTTCCAAATGCAAGGACTGCAGGGGAATAACAACCAGGGGTGCTTCCAATAGAAGTGGGGGGAGAAGTTGGGGAGGGGTCATCACAATTAGAACGTCATGGAGCAATGATTTGAACTCAGGCCTGTCTAGCACCAAAGCCTGCTCATTCAAACAGTATTTTATTGAGCTCTTGCTGTGAGTCAGACACAGTTTTAGATGCCAGTGACACACGTCTGAAAGGTCCCTGCCTTCCCACCCACTGCTGACTCTGCTGCCCTCTGTATTTACAAGGCCTTGGAGGTGGACAAATGTCCTAACCAGGTTTTCCAGGTTTGACTCAACTCTGTAACTCCAGGCTGGTAATTTCATTTCTCTGTCTCTCAGCCCCCTCGACTGTAAAATCAGGAATACCTTCCTCAAAGGGTTATGCGAACGAAATGAAAAGGGAAATACAGGGGACACGAGCTTAAAGCAGCATATCATCTAACCCAGTGGGCACGCTGTAAGTCGACTTTCATTTCATCCACCGGAGCTGTGATGTGGGTTTGTGTACAGTGAACCCTGACCTCACGTCCTGGGCTTTACAGAGAAGTGCTGGCATGGGCACTGCTCCAGAGATGCTCATTCCACCTTTCTACTCAGCCTCCAACTTGCTTTTTATAACCTAAACCTTCTTCACCTACTTGATTTAAGTAGGGTCATCTTTATTAAACAGCCCACCCAGTTTCTAAACTTGTCGTGAAATCTGAGACCAAGCGTTCTCTCAGGAATGCAAGAAAACTCATGGCTGAGGACACCAAGAAAGTATCACTTGGATGAATACACACCCTAAGGACACAACAACATCCTTGAACCTAGCCATGCCTAAGGACCAGCAGGTGGAGCTGAGACTTTTGCGTCTGAAAAAACCAAATGTCTTTTATCACACTAAATGATTCCATGCTGGTCAGCTCAGGTTCCAGACAGCTAGTTTGGAAGCTGGAGCACAGAATTAAAATATCATCCAAGCTTTAAGCCAGAGCTGGCACCATAACTAAAGCGTGGAGTGAATAAAGCAGCCCCTCAGTTCACAGGATGCAAAAGGTACACTGCCCTTTGGTACACTTTTCTCAGTTCCCAGCTTAATCCACACCCTCATCCCCACCCTTGACCCTCCTCTCACTTTTAGGTACATTTCCCAAAAACCAAACCCGTTGCAGTGGATTCCTACTCATAGCGACCCTATAGGATGAGCAGAACTGCCCCATAGGATTTCCACAGCTATAATCTGTCTTGGAAGAAGCACAGCCAGAATACTCCTTAGAAGTGAGGATGACGAGACTTCGTTACATGTACTTTGGAGATGTTATCAGAAGAGACCAGTCCCTGGAGGACATCATGCTTGGTAGAGGGTCAGCGAAAGACTCTCAAAGAGATGGACTGACACAATGGCTGCAACAATGGTCTGAAACACCAGACTGTGGGGCTGGCACAGAACCCCGCAGAGTTTCATGCTGGGGTTCACAGGGTTGCTATTAGTAGGAACCAACAGAACAGTACCTAACAACAATCTTTAGGGAAGCCGACTGACACATCGTTTTGCCGCAAAGCGGATGGTGGGTTCCAACCACTGACCTTTCGATTAGCAGTCGAGCACTTTAACCACTGCTCAACCAGGGCTCTATAAGTTTCCTCCTTGACTAGGACAGACTTTCCCAATCCTTTAGAATGTCAACTCGAAGTGCCTTAAACTATTAAGGAGAGTTACCAGCTCGGGTAATTACTTGGGCAGATAATTACCCTCTCGGAGGATGTACATATTTCAGATGCCGCTTCGAGCATGCTGGCGCCCATATGCGATGTCTGATTGAGAAAGTTAGTGGGGTTCCCCGTGGCTGCAAAAGTCATGATGTGTTACAAGTCCCCAAACTGGAATCCCCCCAGAGGGAGCTGTGCAGCCGAGACCTCTGCAGCCTAGCGGCTCCCAAGCGGACAGGAGGGGACCGCACCCTCGGCTTCGAGGGCGGGGCCTGGGAGGCTTTATCCAATCAAGGCTATATGACCTAACTAGTTGGACGGGATTCTGTGACCCGGTTGAACCAATGAAAACTCGAGCGCTGTGGCCGACTGGCCCCTCCCTCTCCCGGAAGCAATGGCCCTCCTTCCGCCACACCTAGGCGGAGCTACCTTCTGATTCGCCTTCCCATTGGCTAGCTAAGCTGCCGGTCACGGGAGGCGGGAGTGCCTGCGCGGAGAGCGGCAGGCCTAGAGCGAGAATCTGTACAGGGAGTCGCGGAGGCGTCTCCGGCCTCTAGTCGCCGCCGCTACCGGCACCTCCTGGTGCGGCCGCGTGGGGCCCCGGCGATCCAGCTGAGCCCCGCCGGGAGGGAGAGAAGGAAAGAAGGGCGCCTCTTCCCGCGCCCCGCCGCCCCAGGTGAGCCATGGAGGAGCTGAGAGCCTCGGCAGGCCCACGCGTGACCTTCAGGTGACGGACCCCTCGGTGGATCTGCGGTCCGCGCCCACCTCCCCCCACCACGGTCACCGAGGACACCGACCCGCGCCCACCCCTGCCCAAGCTCACCGGGGACGCCGACTCGTCCGCACTCCCGCCCACCGGGCACACCGATCCGCGCTCCCTTCCCCGGCCCGCGCTCACGGGGGGGCCGAGACGCCCAGCCTGTCCCCCTCCGCCCGAGGACGTGGTCTGCGCAGGTAGGTCGCCGATCCCCTCTGGCAGTGTGGGGACCACGCACGGACGCGAAGGGACTCACGAGAGACAGGGAGCAGAATATATGCTTGCCCGCATTGTCAAGAGTAACCCACGGATTTGTCCTTATTTCACGAGGTATCATTGTAGGTCTGCATTAGGCTTGTGTGTGCGCAAAAGGGCTGGCATGTGTTTAAAAAAAAATTCCCAGTAAGTTTGCATTGCCGTGAGCACAAAAGAGCCCACGTACGGGAGCAGTTCTCGGGCCTGACAGGGCCTGTGTAACTCGTTCATCTTCTCTAGTCCAGCTCCAAAGCATTCAATGATATGGACCATAGCGAAAAGGAGGCGATCTTCTCAAATTCTTCATTTATCCTACTTTCACAATCTCATTATGTTTTTTCGATGCCATAGAGGAAGGCAGGCCGTTGGCTCTACATTAACGTAACCAGAAGTAGAAGTCATTTATTGGGAGAGGAGACAGGATTGTGAGTGGAAGCAGGGATGGAGAAGACGGGTTCAACTGAAGAGAAGGTCCTGAGATGACGGAATTGAGACGATGGGGGCCTGATGGGACATCAGGATGAGGAAGAGTGTGGACATTGGGGTGGTGGGGGCATTCCAGAAAGGAATTATCAAACCAGCTGTCCTGGAGTTCAACTCAAGTAGACAAATTCAACTTGAGTTAAATGCAAGAAACTTTAAGCAAATAAAAGGGCAGCATAGTCTTGTCAGATTTTTCAAGTTCCACACACATTTTTATAAATGACGAATCAGGCATCTACTTACCTTTGTGATCTTGCTCCAGACCTTTCTGTTTTCTTATTTATAAAGTTGTTACAGTAGTGTCCTTCTCACCCATGATCCAAAATCTATTGCCATCAACTCGATTCTGACCCCCTAGCAACCCTATGGAAACCCTGGTGGCATAGTGGTTAAGTGCTACGGCTGCTAACCAAAAGGTCGGCAGTTTGAATCCACCAGGCGCTCCTTGTAAACTCTATGGGGCAGTTCTCCTCTGTCCTGTAGGGTCGCTAGGAGTCGTAATCAGCTCAACAGCAGTAGGTTTAGCAACCCTACAGGACAGAGTAGAATTGCCTCATAGTGTTTCCAAGGCTGTAAATCTTTACAGAAGCAGAGTGCCACATCTTTCTCCTGTGGAGCAGCTGATGAGTTTGAACTGCCAACCTTAGGTTTAGCAGCCGAGTGCTTAACCACTGCACCACCACGGCTTCTTTCAGCCAGCATGGTATGGTGATGCTTAAATGAGGTAATGTATGTAAAGCCCCATCACAATACCTAGCCCAGAGTAAGTGCACGTTGATGCTTAACTTCGAGGTCCACGGAGGAAGTGGAAGGACCAGTGTCTGCCGATGACCTTACTGTTATGTCTAGGGTGCCCCCCCATCCTCCATCTCTTCACAAGTCTTCAGTAGAGGTAGATGCCACCGCCTTTCCCAGCCCGTAAGTCTACCTGACCAGGCCTCTTTCCAGACCCTATGTAGAATCTTTTATCTATTTCATAAGCTGATACTTAGAGCAGGCCCTGGTGGCACAGCGGTTAAGTGCTTGGCTGCTAACTGAAAGCATGGTGGTTCAAACCCATTAGTTGCTCCGTGGGAGAAAGATGTGGCAGTCTGCTTCCATAATGGGGCAGTTCTACCCTGTCCTATAGGGTCGCCATGATTTGGAGTCGACTTGATGGCAACGGGAAGCTGATTTCTTTTTTAAAGTTAAGATCTTTTACTAGAAGATCTTAAAAAACCTGAAATAAAAAAATTATTTGATGCTTAGTTTGTAAATCTTAACACATCTAATATTTAGCAGTATTGTCCACTTTTGGTTTTTGTATTGTTTTTAGTGAAATATTTTAATTATGCAAATAAGAACAGAACTGTAACAAACAGCTGTATCTCTACTCTTAAAAAAGAAGACATTAATATTTATACTTGGAAACTTTTTTTTCTATTTTAAAGGAGATGTGACATTTCAGGTACAGTTGAAATTCTTTTTGTTCCATTTTAGGCCATAGAACTTCTTTGAATCTAGTCTTTCAGTTGTGACTCCACAGGACTTATCTAGTAGGTGTTACCCAAAAACCAAACCAAACCCGCTGCCATGGAGTTGATTCCAACTCTTGACGACCCCACAGGGTTTCCAAGGCTGTAAATCTCTACAGAAGCAGGACGCACATATTTCTCTCACAGAGCTGCTGGTGGTTTCAAACTACTGATCTTTTGGTTAGCAGTCAGTTACTTTAACCACCACACACCAGGGATCCTAGTAGGTATTAGTGATCACATAAGTTAGGTGTCTTACCTTCTAATTCCCTGTCAGGCCCAAGGTCTGCTTCTTAGAGCTCACCACGAGAATCATGGCCACCGTTGGGGTCCTGTCCTGGCCTTGTGGCATTTGTTCTCTTACCCTTTTAAGAAACCTGCCTTCTCTTCTCCCTCCCAGATTCTCACCAGCTGCCAAGCACATGCTGTCTGATTGGCTTGATGTGATTGGGCCAGTGACTGCTGTTCCCTTCCACTTAATACTCTGTTTTCACCCAGAGTAAAAAATGTCCCCATTTCTCTAGGGGCAGTCACACCGATTCCATGCTTTGAGGAGAAGCTGGCCTTTCGTAGTAACATGAGATTTTTAAAATTTTTAATAATAGCTACCATTTTTGCAGGCTTTTTACTAAGCACTTGATGTACACTATTTGATTTAATTCTCCTAATACAGTTATGCCACAGTGGTGACACTCCCCCTTAGAAATTAGCAAGCTGATGCTTGTTAAGATTTTGCATTGCTTGAATTTGAGCCTAGCTCCTTCTCTCTGCGGGATGTGTACTCTCGGCCTTTCTGTTTCAGTGGTATGCAGCTGTCAACCACTAAGAGAAGGGGGGGATTCCATTGTTAGGGAAGAGCAGATTTTAACATCCGCTAAAATGAGTTCTCTTCAACCCTCTTGTCCTCCAGCTCCTGGCTGTCTAAGGTGGAGGAGACGCCCTGGCAGAGGCCCCTCCAGCAGAACGAGAGATGTCGTTGTTGGATTTCAAGACCTACGTGGATCAGGCATGCCGAGCCGCAGAGGAGTTTGTCAGCATCTACTACAGCACCATGGACAAGCGGAGGCGTCTGCTGTCCCGGCTCTACATGGGCACGGCCACCCTCGTGTGGAATGGAAATGCTGTTTCAGGACAAGAATCCTTGAGTGAGTTTTTTGAAATGTTGCCCTCCAGTGAGTTTCAGATTAATGTGGTAGACTGCCAGCCTGTTCATGATGAAGCCACACCAAGCCAGACCACAGTCCTTGTTGTCATCTGTGGGACAGTGAAGTTTGAGGGTAATAAACAGCGGGATTTCAACCAGAACTTCATCCTGACAGCCCAGGCCTCGCCCAGCAACACAGTGTGGAAGATTGCGAGCGACTGCTTCCGGTTCCAGGACTGGTCCAGCTAGTTGGGCAGGAAGGCCTCCTCACTTCACCCTGCGCTGGGGGACGCAGGTCTCCAGACTGGGGGACACAAGCTCATTCCTGTTCTTCCACAGACACTGCGGACCAGCATGCCAAGGTGGGATGCTTCTGCATGCCCTCCAGGCCTAGAAGCCCTTTTTTGAGTTTGTGATAGTTGCCTTTTAAGAGTATCATACTTTCTATTTTTTTATTTACCCTGTAGATACTCTGGTTCTGGAAATTCTGAAAAATAAAATAAGACAAGTGTTGCTTCCTTCCCCTTGCCTGGTGTGTCTGACTAGGTTTTGAGGAAATGGAGGATTAAAGGCAGGACTCACAGAAAGTACCTGCAGAGGTGTGATGTCCAGGGCTGAGCACCTGCCTGTCCCAGGTGTATGCACAGGTGTACTGGAGCGGTGGGGCACAGCCCTCTCTGCGCATTAGAATCTTTTGGAGCACTTTGAAAAATATCTGTGCTTAGGCCACACCCCCAGAACATCTGTACGCAGATAATCTGAGGATAAGGCTGGGCATTGACATTTTTCAAAAGCACCCTATGTGTCTTAAAATGTAACATTTAAAAAAAAAGTTGCTGTCAAGTTGATTCATCATGACTCCACATGTGCAGGGTAGAACTGCTTGATAGAATTTTCAAGGCTGTGACCTTTTGGAAACAGATCTCCAGGCCTTTTTTCCAAGGTACCTCTGGGTGGGTTTGAACCACCAACCTTTCAGTTAGTAGTCAAGTGGTTAACCATTTGTGCTACCCAGGGTCTCCCTAGTTCACATTAGGGTACATCAGAATCACCCAACACGGCTGAGATTGAAATGATGAAAACAGATACTAAAGGGTTAGCTAATAACTGCTTGTAAATGAAGCAGCTATATCAACTACTCCTGTAAAGAGAAAGCAACTACAAACTGCTTTTAAGAGAAAGAAGCACTGAGGTTGAGGGGGAAGTTCCCCCAATGACACTCTTTATTGGGTTTGATAATTCACTGCAGTGGTCACAGAAAACACGGAAACACTATGTCTGCAATAAGGACTTTAACATAACAGGGTTTTAAACAAAGATATGCATAGGGTGAGGTTTGGAAGGGTATCCCTGCATGGGGCCCCAATATCTTAAGGGGACCCACTTTCCCTTTCCAAAAACCAGTGTTCACTCTTGTCAGCCAAGAACTGTTTAATGATATCACTTGGTGAGCTCTGCCCTCAGCCGCTCCTCTCAACTGCTCCCGACTCCCTTGTCTGGGGTCTGGCCTTTACACTCTGCTGCCACCGTCTGGGTCACCTCGCCTCCACCTCTTCTGGCACCGTCACAGCTGCTGCCTCCAAAACCACTGCAGGTCTATACGGTCTGGGAGGTTCATTAGCACAGGGCTCACGTGTCCAAAGGACATGCTCCCCTCCTTACTCTTGTAAATTAGGAGGCCCCATCTGAGCCTCAGTGTTCTAGGGCTTTTATCAGTCACCAGGCAGGGCCCCAGCCAATCCTTGTAAACGTCAACTACCGGGCAGAGCACGCCACCCCCACCCCGGCTCCCAGCCAATCTGTATAAAGGTTAACTACAGGGTAGGGTACCCCAGCCGATCCAGGAAAGGTCAGTTCCTGGTCAGAGCTCCTGAGCCAATCCAGGTAAAGATCAGACCAAAGGGGCTTAGAAGCCAGGACCAAACAGCCAAATTGCTTTTTGTTAAGGTGAGTCTACACGCTGCATCATCAGAATTAGAAGCTAGTTTTATTTGCCGTAGAGTCCCTGGGTAGTGCAAACAGTTAACACCCTCTGCTACTAACCAAAAGGTTGGAGGTTCAAGTCCACCCAGAGGTTCCTTGGAAGAAAGGCCTGGCCATCTACTTCTGAAAAATCAGCCATTGAAAACCATATGGAACACAGTTCTCCTCTGACACATACAGGGTCACCATGAGTCCAAAGTCAACCGGACAGCAACTGGTTTGTAGTTGTTTTGTTTTTAGTTGACCCTAAATACCAACGCTTACATTTTACAACTTTGCATAAAGTGGACCTTAATTGCATTTCTCCAAAGTAAAGTAAGAATAGAAAACTATAGAAGGCTCCATTATTCTTTGACCAATAGATGAGATCTTGTGGCCATGCAGCCTCCCAGTTAAATTTTCTTTGATAAGAGCATACTAGGTTTGAGATAGTGTTGTAGGTTGGAATGGTGGAACCAGGAAATTTGAGCAGGACGAGGATCTTGATGTGTACTGTGGCACAGACAGCTGGTTGTTTCCTAATATTCTTCATCTTTATTAATTACTGAAGCCCAGTGTTTAACAGGACAAGGTACTCACTTAAAAGATTTCACTTCCCAGCTCAACTGATAGCTCGGTTTGACATATGACTAGGCTCTGGCCCCTGAAGTAAAAGCTGAAAGACAGTACTTGTGGGAATTTACTTTCAAAGTACCCTTCCTCCCTTCCTCTATTCTGCTGCTTGGAAAGTGGTTGCAGTGGCTGGACCACTGGCTCAAGCTCAGTCATGGACCCTGAAGCCAGCTTGGCTAGGCCCTAGAGGTAGGATGGCAGTGAGCTGGAAGGACTCTGGCTCCCTGGTGACTACATGGGACCACCAAAATAGCCCTAGTCTGCCTACCCCCAGACTGCTTTTTTAATCAGAAAGAAAGAAATTCTTCTTTAAGCCACTGTTGTTTGGGGTCTTTGTCATGTGGTGCAGAGCCTAATCCTAGGTACGGGGAGAATGTTTGCAATAAGGGCTTACTGTAGGGGCATGGCTTTGCCATGGTGCCCTGGCCACCTTGCACGTCTCCATGTAGGCCATGTAAGTAAGACTCGATGGCAGGCCGGCTGGAGTTCTGAAAAAATGCCAGGTGATTCTTGCTGGAGCAGGGGAGAGGAGCCATCTGGGGAGGAGTCCTTGGGAAGCAGTTTCCCATCCCTGTCTTGTGTTTCTCATCATCTCTCTAATTTTAGTTGACACGGACGCTCTACCTCCTGCACTCAGTATTGTCCTATAGGATGAGGGCCGAGGGGAGCTGCCGCCATGCTGGCCTCGCTTTGCTGACTCTGTAAGTAATAAACTGAAGCCATTCAGGCGCTCATTGTCTCTTTGCTGGCCAAATCCACGCAAGCGTGGCGAGCCCAGCTAGCCGCTGCTTAGAGACTGTAGACCACTTGACACTACCTTACCGTTTCAGGAACTCATACAAATCACTAACAAAGACTACACATTGAAAAAATGAGAAAGGATATGAAAATCACAGTATAGAAATGCAAAAATAAACATATAAAATGATACTCAACTTAATCGTTCAACAGATTATTACAGTACAGACATTGCAATAGACATGTTCCCAAAAATACATTCCACTAATCTCAGTTTGGGGCAGCCATTTAAATTTGGATAGACTTAAGCCCATTTCCAAGCTAGATGGGCCTCAACTGGTCTAATGAAATCCCATTGCCCTCACACGGTGGAGGTGGCTGGTAATGTGGGCCTTGCAGCAGGAGGCCCTGAAGTCAGCCCTGCTGGACATGAGACACAGAGGAAGGGGTTTGTGAAGGAGGTGTCCCTGCTCCCACGGCCATCAGGGCAGAACAAGAGCGCACGACTGAGCCTGGGGGAGCCAGGACAGTCCTTTCAGTGTGCAGATTCTTTCCCTGCCCCCCACGATCCCAAGGCATTCGGTCCAATAGATCCTTGCCCCAGCTATTGTCAGACACCTTTAGGTGGGGACCGTGGTGGCTCCGTGAGCCCTGGTGGTGTAGTAGTTAAAGTGCTCAACTGCGGACTGAAAGGTTGGCGGTTCAAAACTACCAGCCACTCCGTGGGAGGAAAGTGTGGCAGTCTGCTTCTGTAAAGATTACAGCCTTGGAAACGCTATGGAGCAGTTCTGCTTTGACTTCTAGGGTCAATATGAAGCGGAATTGACTCGACGGCAATGGGTTTGGTTTGGTCGTGGCTCTACAGGACTTACCTGGTGGAAAACTGTGCCAACGTGTTTTGCAATACTGTAAATCATTTCCACTTTCCTTTTATATGAATTTAATAATTTGGTGTTGGGAATATCTATTTTTAAACTTTAATGCCATCTATATGAATGTGCCTCCTTTGAAAATACTGCTCTGTCTGAATTCTCTTTCAATAACCCTCCCATCGGAGCTCAGTGGAATGTTTCTTGTTTCCTGCATGGGGAGCAAGCAACTCTGAAAATGATGCCATTTCCATTCAGTCTCCTCTCATCCTTTCTTTGGAATGTGCTGGTTTAGGGGGTTTGTGGCTATTATTTTTCCCGCAAGACACCTATTTGTTTCTGTCTCTTTGAATTGCAGATATTTTGAATGAAAACTGTGGTCTCTTTCGATGCTGAATTTTGATGCTTTTTTGGTTGCCTCTCCTCATAATACTGCAGTCAGACTTTTCACTCTTCAGCTCTAGTCCGTTCAAAATGCCCCTGCCAGAAGAAGCCTGGTCTGCCCACTGAACCTCCCCCTGAAGGGGCAGAAAGCAGGGCCTGGATGCAGTCACATCACCTGAGTAGCTCTGCTCCTTGCACTCAAGGGGCTTGTGATATAATCAGGAGATGTGACATGGCAAATTAAGTACATTAAGTTCCAGAGCCACGTATAAAGAGTGACCAAACCAGTCACACACTTGTGCATAACAATGTTAAACAGTATTCAGCTGAGACACTGGTAAAATCCACGTGACAGACAAAAGTAAGTTCCAACCAGGATGAGAATTGTACGAGGCCTTAGAACACTGTCCCACAAGGAAGATATGCAAGGGGGGAGAGTGGAGTCGCGGGGAGGAATTTTGTTTAGGGACTCATTTGGAGGGAGACGCTTCTGGACTTCAAATTGCAAAGCCCCTCCTCCATCCCTGCCCTTAAGTGGGGCGAGGTGGGATGCCACCTTCGTCACTTCAGACTAAATAGAGGGCGTGAGTCTCAATAGGGTCACTCAGCAAGCTGGATCTGAATTCCCTGGAGTCTGTGACTCACACTGGCCGAGAAGCTTCAGAACAACAGACAGTGGATGTCCCCAAGGGATAACATGTTTGGGAAAGAGCTTGGCTGCTAACCAAAAGGTCAGTTTGAATTCTGTCTTAGTTATCTAGTGCTGCTATAACAGAAATACCACAAGTGGATGGCTTTAACAAAGAGAAATTTATTCTCTCACAATTTAGGAGGCCAGAAGTCCAAAATCAGGATGCCAGCTCTAGGAGAAGACTTTCTCTCTCTGTCGGTTCTGGGGGAAGGTCCTTGTCATCAATCTTCCCTGGTCAAGGAGATTCACAGTGCAGGGACTACGAGTCCAAAGAATAGGCTATTCTCCTGGCTCTTGTTTCTTGATGGTATGAGGTCCCTGTATCTCTCTGCTTGCTTCTCTCTTTTATATCTGAAAAGAGATTGACTTAAGACACAACCTACTCTTGTAGATTGAGTCCTGCCTCATTAACGTAACTGCCTCTAATCTTGCCTCATTAACTTCATAGAGGTAGGATTTACAACATATGGGAGAATCATATCAGATGACAGACAAAATGGTGGACAGTCACAGAATACTGGAATCATGGACTAGCCAAGTTGACACACATTTTTTTTTTGTGGGGGTGGGGAGGACACAAATCAATCCTCAACACCTGCTTTCCTTACAGGAGTCTGGAATCTTGTTATATGCTAAGCATATGTGCCTACGTGACCAGCCCCAATAAAAACCCTGGGCCCTCAGAGCTTCCTTCATAGAAAGCATTTCACATGTGTTGTTACAATTCAGTGCTGGTGGAATTAAACACATCATGTGTGACCCCACCTGGGGGACCCTTGGAAGCTTTCGTCTGATTTCCCTAAACCTTGCCCCATGCACCTTTCTCTTTGTTGATTATCCTTTGTGTCCTTTTGCTGTAATACATCATAGCCATGAGTTTGACTGTATGCAGAATCCTGTGAGTCCTCCTGGTGAATCACACAATCTAGGGAACCTCTGACTCAGAGCCTTGGGCATTTTGATGCAGCTTAAGAACTGGTACAGCACAAGCATTTTATTAGATTCACACAACTGAGCCATTAGCTTGGCACTTGTTGAGTCTCCACTTGCAGAGTACTTCTTTATCTTCGTCTGTTGGGCACATTGATGCTGAGGAGTCATGTCTGCCTTCTCTGGACATTGAACAGTGATGATAATCTCTTTCTCCAAGCCTTGGTTTCTTGGTTTTGGTGCTGGAATGCCTAGACGTATGACTAGGTGTTCCCATGGGTTACATTTGTTGAGATGAAGTATTGACATTCCAGGAGGAAAAAAACTTGAAAATAATTTATTTATCGATTAGCTCTTTTGAAAACCCATGTGCAGTTCAAAGATATTGAGTAGCTGTGTTTTTCACCTGGCTTGTGAAGGTCTTGTTTTGAAGGTGGGCTTTATCGATTATGATATCTGTTTCCAGAGCCTGCACCCATGTATGTGAGCCAGCTGGAAATGCACTTACTCAGCAAGAGCTGTCAGTCGCCACCAGCACATCCATGTGGGAGAGAAGCCATGTAAGCATTTACCTGACATCAGGATATGTTGAGACATTTCCAGAAGTTAAACCTCCACCATGCCAGGGGTCCTCAATGGATTTCATTTAGAATTAATACCTGTTAAAACTTTTATTCCTAGATAATATCCATATAATTAAATATAAATGATTCCAGTAGAGTAATAAAGGTGAAAACCCACTCTGTTTTAAAAAGCAAATATATCACTGATACCAGAATTGGACAAAGACACCTCAAAAGTAAAAACTATAGGCCAATATCATATATGAATATAAACTTAAAAAAAAAAAACCTTAAAGTAAAATAGTAGCAAATAGGCTTTTATAATATATTAAAAGAATAATCCACAACTATGTCTTATTTTAGGATGTTTATTTCCCATCAGTTTTTTCCCTCAGTAGATACCAAAAATATATCTGATAAAATTCAGTAGTCATTCATAAAAAGAAAAGATAATTCTTGAGAATACTGAAATATTTATTTCAGTCTAAAATCAAAGATCATTCATAAGGATTAAAAATCAAGATATCCATATCATTGTTATGTTTTATGGCAGTTGTGGCTACTGCTAAATTAAGGAATCAGTGAGAGGTATGGTATGGGGACAGAAAGACAGAAAATCATTGTCTGCAATGTGTGTACATACTGGACAGGTGAAATATATTAAATTAACCATGAGAATTAAAGAGTTCAGTAGTGCCGCAATATAAAACATATATACAGAGATCAATAGCAGTCTCATATCATAGCAAAAAGCAATTAGGAAAAGGAATGAAAGGAGAAGGGCACTTTCACAGTAACAAAGTTACCCAATTACCTAGGAGAATCTTGGTGGGGATATGTGTGATGATCACATGAATTGAAGCATAAAACTGTTGAGAAAGATAAAATATTGCTGAAGTAAATTAATGGATATAAACCTCTGTGCTTCTGGATATAAACACTAAGTATCATAAAGATGTTAATTCTTCCTAAGGTAGGTTACTAGATTTAATTTTATCAACGTCAATATATGCCAATTTAATTTTTTTTTATTCTGCAAAACGCTTCTAACCCTAACCTGGAAGAATAAGTTGGTGACAATAGCTTAATCCTTATGCATGCTATGAGAGCAGAACAGCCTACCTGATATTAAAACAGAAGAGAGGGATACAAATATGTAAGATAACCATGTTTGGGCCAATGAACAAAATAGGGAGTCTCCAGTGCTAGGTATGAGGTGGATTTTAACATCTGATGAGAGGCACCACAAATCAATGAGGAATACAAGGGCTATTTATTAAGCTCTTTGGAAATGGTTGGTTATAATTTGAGAGTAAAATCACATTTAACTTCACAATATATCAAAATCGTATCCAGACTAAAGTGTTAACTTTAAAAAACAATAATATAACTAGAAAAAAGACTGAATATTTATTAGACTTCTGGACAGGGAAGTATTTTCTGAGCTTAGACTCAGCAGAAGAAACTAAAAAGAAAAGATTGAATTAACACAAAAAATTTTAGAACATCTCTATGTCAAAAAACAAACAATAATCAAGACAGTGTGGTACTGACATAAGGATACACATATAGGTCAATTGATTAGAATTGACCGTCCAGAAATAAACCCTTATGTTTACAGCCAGTTGATTTTCAACAAGGGTGCCAAGACAATTTAATGGAGAAAGAATAGTCTTTTTCAACAAATGGTGCTGGGACAATGGAATAACCATCTGCAAAAGAATGAAGTGAGACCCCCTAACTCACACCATACTCAAAAATTGACTCAAAATGGATTAAAGGCCTAAATATAAGAACTAAAATTTAGCTCTTAGAGGAAAACATAGGTATACATCTTCACAACCTTGCATTAGGCAGTGGTTTCTTGGATATTACACCAAAAACACAAGCAACAAAAGACAAAATAAATAAATTAGATTTCATTAAACTAAAAGCTTTTGTGTATCACAAGACTATCAATGAAGTGAAAAGACAACCCATAGAATGGGAGAAAATATTTGTAAATTATTTTATCTGATAAGAGGCTTGTATCTAGAATATATAAAGAACTCTTAAAACTCAATAGTAAAAGACTAATAACCCAATTGAAAAATGGACAAAAGAACTGAATGGGCATTTATACAAAGGAGATATACAAATGGCCAATCAGCACATGAAAAGATGCTGAACATCATTAGCCATTAGAGAAGTGCAAATCCAAACCACAGTGAGATACAACTTTACTCCCGCTAGGATGGCTAATCAAAAAGACAATAACAAGGGTTAGTGAGGTGCAGTGAATTACTTAATATGGCCCTTCTAGCCATGCATGCACAACTGGACCAATAAGCAACATCATACTAAATGGAGAAAATATTGAAGTTGTTACGGATTTCATTTTACTTGGATCCACAATCAACACCCATGGACGCAGCAGTCAGGAAATCAAATGATGTATTGCATTGGGCTAATCTGCTGCAAAAGACCTCTTTAAAGTATTGAAAAGCAAAGACGTCACTTTGAGGACTAAGGTACGGCTGACCCAAGCTATGATATTTTCAATCGCCACATATGCATGCAAAAGCTGGACAATGAATAAGGAAGACCAAAGAAGAATTGATGCCTTTAATTATGATGTTGGTGAAGAATATTGAATATACCATGGACTACCAGAAGAACGAACAAATCTGTCTTGGAAGACGTACAGCCAGAATGCTCCTTGGAAGCAAGGATGGTGAGACTTTGTCTCACGTACTTTGGGCATGTTATCAGGAGGGATCAGTCCCTGGTGAAGAACATCACACTTAGTAAGGTAAAGGGTGAGTGAAAAAGAGGAAGACCCTCAACAAGATGTATTGACACAGTGGCTGCAACAATGGGCTCAAACATAGCAACGATTGTGAGGATGGCGCAGGACTAGGCAGTGTTTTGTTCTGTTGTGCATAGGGTAGCTGTGAGTCAGAACAAACTCGACAGCACCTAACAAGAACAACAGCTATGTGTGGTCTTGTGACTCCTACAAAATGACTGGGTGGGATTATGCAAATAAAGTGCTTTTGGCCCACCAAGAGGATTGGACAACATTGCTAATATTGCAAATAAGGTGCATGACATCCTTGTGGGAGTGAGACCATGCAATAAGGTGTACAGAACCCTAACAAGGAGATTGGTCAGTTTTGCCATGGTGCTAGGCTTAAAATGAGCCATCCTAGAGGCGGAAAGGGGGGAACCTCACTACCACAAAGAAAGAAGAGCCAGGAGTGGAGTATATCCTTTGGACCCAGTGTACCTGCGCTGAGAAACTCCTAGACCCAGGAGAAAGAGAGAGAGCTGTAACACTGGAGATAGCATGAGGCAGTGAGAAGCAGTGGCAGAGAAAAGGCAGCAGCAGAACCAGGAGATTGGCAAAAGAAGGTGTTGTGGGCTTCGCAGCCCACAGAGCAAGGCAGCTACAGTAGGTGTTCCAACCCACAGAGCAAGAGAGCTGAGGTCCTTCAGGCAGGAGGCTTGCTGGTGGAGTGGGGTGCTCTGAGCACTTGGTGGAGCTAGGCTCGCTGACCCACAGAATGAGAGAGCTGGGCACCATCAGGCCTAGGCTTACTGGTGGAGTGGGGTGCCCCTGGGCACTTATTGGCAGAGCTAAACAGCGTTGTAACACTTGTCCGAGCAGGGAAGAGGCCAGGTCAATGGGCCAAAGGGCCAGCGGGCTGAGGGGCCGAGAGAGGAGGCACGACTGAGAAGCCGTCCTGACTAAAGAACTGTATCCTGAGTCACTCCTGATCTTGAATTGTAATCTGTTATATTTCTAATAAACCCCATAACTGCGAGTATGGTCTGTGAGTTCTGTGTGGCTATTGCAATGAATTATCAAACCCAGCAGAGGAGTAGAGAGCGTGGTAGGAGGGACGGCTTGTGTCAGAATTGGTAAAAAGTTTGGAGAGAGGAGGCATGTCTGACCTCCACCTCATAGGAATCAGTCTTGGGCTGTTGATCTTCATTCTCCTCCCCGCTTGTGATGTTAGAGGAGGTCAGACGCCCCTGCCACACCATTCTTACAGTTAGCCAGAATGTGGAGAAATTGGAACCCCCATACACTGCTGGTGGGAATGTAAAATGGTACAGCCACTTCGGAAAACTGTCTGGCATATGGTGGCACAGACCTAGCAATTCCACTTCTAGGTATATACATAAAAGAAATGAAAACATACACAAACAAAAACTTGTACATGAATGTTCATAGCAGCATTATTCATAATAGGCAAAGGTGGAAACAAGACAAATATACATCAACTGATGAATGGATAAATAAAATGCAGTGTATCCATACAATAGAATATTATTGGCCATAAAAAGGAATGAAGTACTGATTCATGCCACAGCATGGATGAACCTTGAAAACATTATGCTAAGAAGTAAGACACAAAAGGACACATGTTACATGATTCCATTTACATGAAAGATCCAGAATAGGCAAATCCATGGAGACAGAAAGTAGATTGTTGGTGCCTAAGGCTGGAGAGGGTTGAGGGAAAACAGGGGGAGGGATGGCTGCTAAAGGGTACAGTGTTCTATTTGGTATAAAGCTGACTATGGCAATGGCAACAACTCTGAATATACCATAAACCATTGAACTGTACAATTCACATAATTAAAATGTGTGGTATGTGAATTGTATTTCAATAAAGCTGTTAATAAAGAAACAAAGAAAATATATAATTAAAACATAAAGACAGGAGGGGCTGCCCTTCTCAGATGGCAGCATGAAGAGCTCCATGAACTCACTCCCCAGGGAAACAGGCATAACTGGTGAAAACTATAAAAGAAAGTGGAATTTCTGGATCTACGCTGCCATATGCCAGACTGTTTTCCAAAGTGGCCCACTCATAGGGTGGAGGCTCTACCTCAGGCAAAACCAAAAACTCGTTGCTGTTGAGTAGATTCAGACTCACGGTGACCACATGTGTTACAGTGTAGAACTGAGCTCCACAGGGTTTTCTTGGCTGTAACCTTTACAGAAACAGATTGCCAGACCTTTCTTCTGTGTTGCTGCTGGGTGGGTTTGAACTGCCTATCTTTTGGTTAGTAGCCAAGAGCAAACTGTTTGTACCACCCAAGGACCTAAGCAGGCTAAAAATACTGGTGCCCTGAGCACGCTTGCACCCAACACCCTTGCCCCAGGCACCCTTTGCCTCAGCTTGCTCATACAGCAGAAATTCCAACCCAGCCAAAAAGACCAGAGGCTACTGCCCCTGGCCAATGCCTGGAGTA